GTGCTGTTTTGGCGTCATGTCATCTAAGCTTTATACATATAACATCATTTTTTTTTTTTTTCTAGGGTGGTGGGCCATAGTGAGCTGCAGGGGCAAAAGCCCACCACCTTAAGAAAAAACAAAGGCAGACCACTTTCCAACTGGCTCTTCTTCACCCCTCGCTTCCATCTTCTGGCATTTAAATTTGAGATTATTTCCTCCATGCTTCGCTTTGTGAGGAAAACTAGTTCAGTACAGCGCCGGGGCTTCGTGCTGTGTTGGCCCCAGCTCACTGAGGTAGCGGGGCTGGGGGGAGGCAGCCCGCCCTGCACCCAGTGGGTTAGGAAAGCTGCTAAGAGCACCAAGGTCTTGGTCACATTTCACGTTCCTGCTCTGCGCTATGCTCGCTTTTCCTCTTGCCCCGAAGTTACTGGAAGGGGCTAGTTCAATACAGCTGACAACAAATGAACCCTTTTCCCACCAACTTCTCACTTCCAGAAGTCCACACAGCTCCGAGTTCAGCGTTAGTGGTGAAAGCAGCACGCCTTAGCTACAGCAGCAGGACACAGGGCAGTTTTCTGTGCTGCCACTTCTTCCCATCAGCAACCTAAGCCACTGCTCTGATGCCCAGGTTCCAAGAGATGCAGTAGTAACAGAGATGAGAAAGCAGCGTGTGTGCTCTCAAGACTTCTCCCACTAAATTCCTGTGATACATTCAATCTTCCCCAAGCATCCACCTGCCCTGCAGCCTGGACCTCACCTCCTCTGTCAGTCCAGGTTTGAGGCAACATCTGATTTTTTCTTTCAGAAGGACATGCAGCATGCAGCTCCTGTTCAAAAGGGTCTTGGGGGAATGTAGCAGGCTGCCACTGAGGCCTCACACCTCCATGCAGGTCCAGGCACAAAGAGTGCCAATCAGACTTTCCAGCTTCTGTTGCTTTCAGACAACATTTGCTGGCTATCCTCTCTCTTACTTTCCACAGAATTACTGCAGACCCAATGGTCACAGAAAACTTGCCCCTATGGACCTTATTTCAGCCTAATTCTTCCAGGAACAGTACTCCAAAGTGACCCTGCTGTGGCTGCTGGGGACTGCTCTGCTCTGCTTCCTACTGCGGGCAAGGCATTTGTCTTCACTTCTCTTTGCATATTGCTTTGTTACTTTCCCATTCTGACTCAACTCTGTATTTGATCCTCCCAGGACCAAGCTCTTGCTAATTCATCTCTGCACGTACCTCTCAAGAAAGCACAGCAGATTTCTGAACTTCACGCTTCCCTCAGCTCTACTTTCCTTCCCTATAGGGTAACCTTACTTCTCCTTGCTGCTTCAGCCTTGTACCCCTCAACCCACTCAGCTCGTGCTCCAAACCGTTTTCAGAATCCTTACCCCTCTCCCATTTTTCTATCTCCCTCCCCAGACACATCTTTTTAAACAAACCAGGAGGGTTGGGTTGGTTTGGTTTTGTTATACCCATTAATTTGTGATGTAGAATTTATTTGATTTTGAATTTAGATTGATTTGTGATCTCCTAACATGGCCTTTAACAGCCTTGCCCCTTTTCTTTCATTGCTCTGATTCAGCACATTAAGGATGGGTATGTTTGTGTCCAACCCTTGTATCTCTGTTCTCTTGCTGAGAACTCATAGCCACCTCATTTCATCAGGGCATGCTTGCTCAATGCAGTGCTTGCTCAATGACAGTCATTTCTGGCATGGGAGAGAAAGTTTAACTGGCAAATTCCTTCATACTTAACACTGCAGTAGTTGTTAGGCTTATTGACAGCTTTTAGAGAAAAACTTGTCTACTCTATAGTACAAACGCTATGGATTTAAAAACAGCAAATATTTGCGATGTACCGTAACAAGAAACATCCATTGAGAAGTTCTGCAATTTCTCTCGTATTTTACATTAATCAGTATCAGTATTACTCGGGTTCAGCTGAAAAGCTTATCGGTGGGATCCTGAGGAATTTTAGATACACTTAGTGAGCCACGTGCCAACCAAACTGATCCGTGCATGTTTAAACTGTTCTTAAGTCAACGAATTGTTTAGTACTGACAGTGCAAAGCCCCCTGTAATTCAAACCCCCTCCTGCCTCAGTTTCTCCTACAACATCTTACCACTAATGTGGGTTTCCATTCTCACATCCTCACTTGTACAGATTTCCAAATCATCCACTTAGATATTTTTGGTACTTGCAGTATTCTTCCTTGTTTGTACAAAGGATATTACCATTTCCTTTCACTAGGCTGTGATATCAGGCAGCTTGCTTTAGCTAAGGAATTCAACCTGTGATTTTCAACTGGTATTATTTGATGTTATCTGGGAGCTTTGAGGCGATAAAGACCTGGGGAGACTCAGCAGGGCTGAGTGACAATCTGGGATGTCAGATTCCAAGAGTCAGACTGCAACACACAATTACTTACCTGCCTGAGAGAGAGCACAAGAACAAACTCAACGCTGGGAATTAAAAAAATCCCACTTGGAGACAAGCACCACAATGCTGGTCCACAGCCCTGCTGGGCTGATGTGGTTAAACAGGCCGACAAATCCCTCTGCTATTGTTCTCCTTTAGTTTCTCCCTTCCCCCAAGCAGATGCAGTGCATGACTCCTCTGAGGTAGCGGAAGAAGTACTGGCACAGCCATCATCATTCAGCACAGTCAAGGGAAAACAAGAGCCCAGTGTCAGAGCACTTGCCAACCTGTCGTGGGCGAAGTCACAAGACGAGCTCTCTGTTAATTCCAGCAGAAGCAGAAGAAAGATGCCCAAGGGATCCTGAAGCTACAGCTGGACAGCAATGAAAGGCCAATTCTGATGATAAGAAGTCTCAGCTGCACACAGAGCCCTCAAAAGGAGGACAGAATTTGAAAACCAGCATTTTCGTTCATCCCCTTCACACACACATACTCCCCAAAATCACCTGCTTTTATAACTTACTCTCAGTTTAGAGAGAATAAAATCTATTTTCTCCACCAACAGTCCCCAGGAGTTACCATAAGGTCACAATGCCACCTACTGACAACGAGAAACAGCAACCAAGCTCTTCTGTCAGTCCAGAGCAACTCAGGTTTTCCATTAGATAATCTCCCCTCCACTTCCTCGTATTTATCAACTGGTCTGATGGCTGAATGCAAGTCTTCTAAATATTTGCTTCTAGTTAGTATCTTTTTACCAGCTTTCCTCTTCCAAGGGTTGCTCTTTCGGCTTCTGAAATAGGGTGAAATTTCTTTCAAATTTTCTAAACTCTTTCAACTCTTGACTAATTCAGCCAAGACCAGCTAATCCCTCCCAGTTATTAGAAAGTGAGAGATTATTTAAGCCTTCTCCTGTCACAGGCAAGCACAGAATGTCTCTTCACAAATTCATACATAACCCATCTGGACAACAAGCTTAAAATTCAGAAACTTTAATGACTAGATAATGTTTTTCATACCCTTAATAACCAATCCCCAAGTCTGTTGGTTTAAATTCAAGAAATCCCAACACCTCTGCAAGAGGCAGCACTGTAGTCAAAGCAGGCTCTGGGTCAGGGGCAGGGAATCGGAGACCGAGACTCTACTCCTGACTCTTGCTGCATTGCCTGTGGCAGTCCTTTCAGCTTTCTGCAGCGCTATTCCTACCCTCCATCTGCTTTTGTCTCTCAACAACGCACTGAAACAGTCTTCTGGTGTGTGAAAGGTGTTTGTAAGAATTAGGCCCATTACAGGACCCTTGCACAATATCAATATTTAAATAGCAGTAGAGTAGGATTCATTTAAGGAAGCTGATTCAGCGAGTTTTGCTGGATGGAGGTCAGTCATTCTGTATTTCTTTATTCTGAGCAGGTCACAGGGAGAAGTGTCTGTTGTTGCACACAGCTGCAAGAATCAGACTGGAACAGAGCACCGTGACAAGAAGAGTCACAACACACACGAAGGAACTGTGTTGCCTGAGCCCCACTGGAACCTGCAGAACTGATTCCTCATATGCCTACAAAGAAAAAGAAGTGGATTACACACATTTAACAAGCTATTGCTTTTTGACTGCAGCTTAGAGGATTAGTAACCAGGTCACTATTTAACTAGCCACAACCTTTCAATTTACAGCAGAGTGCCAGCTTGCCCTGCAGTACAAAGCTCAATAAATTTATCTGCTAGCATTTTAAATGGTAGCCATTTATATCCTCTGCAGGTTTGCCCTCACAGAAATGTTTGTAATACAGCACTGAAGAGAGCAGCTCTCAGAATGAGCATTTCACAGATGACCGAGGAGCCAGTTGTCTCCAAGGCTAACTATTTGGTTTCTCTGTGATGCAGGAAGCTCCAAAATGTTTTTGGACAAGAGCTGCAGATATCCCAGATGTCTGCAGGTATCTTAAATATAGGAAGACATGTGTGTTACAAAAACAACAGATCTGTTACGAGACAAATTAGTCTTATTTCTGAATCTCTATGCTACTGCAACCCTTTCAAGTATCGAAGGCAGTTGTTGACCACACTAAAGTTCCAGCTTTCCTTCGTTTTGAACACAGAATAAAGAAACTTCATCTTTTGCTAGATACTTAGCCAATCAGATAACAACCAAACAAACAGAGTGGCCTTTTTTTAAGATGATGTTCCTTCAGTCTTTGAGGCTTTATCCCTCCGTTAGTTAAAATCATAAAGTAGTTTTCCACTTTGCCACTCCTCTGAAGCACCTATGTCATAAAGACTTTTCTTCATTTGACCAGTGCCAATTATATCCTAGAATTCCAAGTAAACTCTTAAGGAAAAAAAAAAAAAAAAAAGGGTGAGGACAGCAGCCCCAAAAAAAGGAAGAGAAGAGCACAGAGTGAGTACCAGCATGTCAGAAGGCCAGGAGAACACCTGATGAAGGCCGGTCAGAAAGGAAGAAGGGGGCCTCCCTAAGGGGGAATCACACAGATAGTCTTTTACTGATTAGTTCCTGTGCTATGGAAGTTGCCAGTCACAGAGAAAAAAAAAAGAGAGAACCAAGAATTCCAACAAGAACTCACAGGTTTGTGCATTACGCTGTACCACTGACAAGGGCTGACATTTTTTCCTGGACAGGGAGCTTCCACTTCAGCAGGCTTCCAACACTCTGCTGAGAGGTGATCTACGGAAGACATGAATGCATCAGCAGGATCCAGACGGGATGAAGCAATACAGCCTACAATACTTTTCCAAGTGAGGTATCTTTCCTTCACAACAGCGAGACAGAATCTACTCCCTAAAAGCCAACAGGTGAAACAGCACTGACAACAACGTGCCAGCTAACCTGCACGCTGCACAATGCAGCGCTGGGCACTCCTTTTCACGACCTTTGCAACTCTTCCCTTTCTGATACACTGGGTACCCAAGGAGGACTCTCACCCGTGTGGTATCTTGGCCCTTCTGGCCTTAACAGAGCAAAGAATTCATCACTGGCCTGCAGAACCCTCAACTGTAGCCATATACTTATAATTTCTCTTCCCCCAAAACACAGAAGTCATTCTTCCATTTCTCCTTGTTGGCCTCCTGTTGGGACAGGCAGGAACTCTCCCCCAATACTTTAAATGTTTTCATGTTAGTAATAAATACGTTTTCCTGCTCGTAAGTAGTAAATGGGGCAGAAAAATGGGAAGATTTTACACCCCTTTTTCAATTGACCAGACAGTTTTCCCTGCTCCGAAGTTTATCCCAGAAAACCAATGTGCAACTGAAGACAAAGGAGCTGGGAATCATTAGCACATTTGACTTGGCAGCTAGCAAGAATGGTTTTGTGAAAGGAAATACAATTTGCAGCAAAAAGGAGGATTTCATTGTTCATATAGCTTAATATTCATTGTCAGTGGATATCGGGTTCTTCTTTCACAGGAGGCTGAGACACCAACCATTCTAACCTTCAGGCACAGTTTTCTACATTCCTCCCTTATATATAGGGAATGCAGGAAGGAAGTGCTAGAAACCCGCAGAATACTTTTGATTACTCTAAATAGCTGATAGTGAATATTAAATTTGCCACGCATGGCTTCAGCTGCCAAGAGAAACACTGTGAAAACACGGTCTGAGCGACTGGGCCCTGCCGGGACTGCGACAGACCAACTGCCAACACCTCCAGTACAAGCGTACAGCAGCACCAGCGCAACACCAAGAAGTCTATTGACAATTAATCTGTCTTTGGTCAGGCAGCAGCAGCACTCAAAGAGGAAGACAACGTGATCTTTATCAGGGCTGCTGTCTTTCCCTCATGCTCACACAAGAGCTCCATCTCCAGATGACAAACACAGAACCAGATTCCAAGCTCACGGTTATTCCTCTCCCCTCAAAGGAACATGTAACAAGAACCTCACTGTCACAGCAGCAGACCAGTACTTCTGGGCTCTTCAGAACAACCAACACTTCCTCGCTCTCTTCCGCTGGCCGGTGGTACCGCCCGTGCACAGGCAAGGCAGCTTGAAAACAGCGAGAGCACCGAGGGTCAGGGTTCAGGTACAGGAGAACAAGAAGATCTGTGGCTAAGTACTCGGGAGCCTCCACATCAACGACATCAGGAATTAACACTGCCTGCAAGTGGAGAAAGATACACATGTGGTCACGATCAGAATGGACACAAGGGCGGGATGCAGGAAAAAAAAATGAAAATGAGAAAAAAAAATAAAATGAACTTTTTGTGTATGATTCTGGGATTTAAGAGGCCACTGTCTGCTGTGGTGGCCTGGTGCCAACTGCAGCACCAGAAGGAAAAACTATTTCCTCATTCTGTTGTCTAACACCAAGCCTGATTTCGTGGTCAGGAAGATCAGGTTGGAAATTCTGTCCTTAAAGTTGTTCCAGAAGAACTTTTCCAGTCTCTCTCCAATGAGTCATTCTCACGTATGTAAAGTTTACAGCGCAGCCATGCCTATAGCCAAATCTAATGGGCATTAGCTTAATGACGCTTACAAGCACGGCCACACTCGCGCTTGCAAACATCCCAACAGCACAAGCTGCCCAGAGTCTTTGCCTCTGTACATTTTACCCAACCTAAGCACCTGAGGAGGTTACCTTAAATCCCCTGCCTTACCACATCTCTCCACCCAAAACGCAAAGCAAACACTGGAAAGCAACACAGAAAGCTCTGATGAAAACAAAGGTGCGAAGCTACTCAGCCCAGATGTGCACACGCTACTCCAAGCCCACCACCACCTCTTCTGTGGGGCTTAACCTTCTGTCTCCGCCGCCGGAATGAGCTTTTACCAGAGCTGTTCATCCAGGGCCGGGCAGAGGAGCAGTGGCTCACCTTACACTGAGGTGTAGAATGTTTTCTACACAAATTGCACAAAACACCCCGCACCAGGTGATGCTGCTCAAGCTGAGAGATACGAGATGTCACAAAGATGATACTGTGCAGCATCTCCTTCCAGGAAAAGGAATTAATCACCTTGGTTCATCGAGCCAGATAATGAGGAGAGATCACAACTTCCTGCGCACATGCGGTCTTTGTGCGTAACTGCCAGAGCTCTGGGGTCGTTACCTTTGTTAAATTGTGCTGCTGCAGCGATGCCAGCTCGTAGGGATCCACGTAGATTCCTGATGGAAGACGAGTTCTAGCTGCCACTGCGCATCCTCCTGCATCCTCCCTGGCTCCACCAAGTTCTACCTTCACCAGCAGGTCCCTTCAAACAAGCAACAGAAGCAAAACTTTCATCATCTCAAACGCGCAGAGATTAGACGCAGCTCTCGCGTACTACATGCTGCAAAGTTCCCTGTTGAGCCATGCTGTCCTTCTCCAGGGAGGAAGAGATAGTTCACCCTGACTCCACACCCAAGACCAAAATGAAGTTTCACTTCTTTGTTAACTTCTCAGAACTACCAACAGCCCCCACGCAGATCCTGTTCTTCCTCCCCTCTGGCTTGTAGTCGTTAAACACTTCGTGGTGCTGGTACACTCCTCGTGCCTGTGGATCACCGCTCAGGGAGCTGGTACAGCTACAGATTAGGAGAGAAACTTCTTCACACGCGAAATTATTCTGATGCAATGCCAGGGTGACAACTCACCTGTGAAACCCCTCTTTCAGGAGCTCCTGCGTGACAGTGGCGTCCTGACAGGCGGCCTGCACATCTAAGGTAACACAGAACGAACGAGTGATGGTGTTTACAGTGCAGCACACCTGTCATTACGCAGGCAGACATCCTTCACAAAGTCGTATAAACCTGCGAACACATCCTCTGCAAACCCTCTCACGGCAGAAGGGAAGCAGTATTTCAGTTCAGTGCAACCAACAGCCGTTCTGTCAGCAGAACACCAAGCTCCAGCTACCACAACGGCCAAAATCTCTCTTTTCTCCCAGCAGAGCAACTTGCAAAAGCACACTTTGGTTTCTACTGTGGACTCTGTAATCAGCCCCACTTTCCCCACTGCAACCCCTACCCCAGGTGGGACTCCTCGTCTCCTATTTCTGTATCAATCCTGGGAGACCTAAAGCAAAGCCACGTCGGCTCAATATGAAATTTTGCAGAAGGCATCGCAGCTGTTTTTCAGACATCTAATCCGGAAAATCAAAAATTATTAATTTCATATGAGAAGAGACTATTTCAGTGGGAAGGGAGTG